GTTCGTATAATGATGGTATTTGATTAATATACAGTTTCGGCTCCTTTTAGAAAGAAAAAAAGAAAGGGAAACATTATTGTGCTGACGTTCACTAGGAAAACATGGCACATCAGACTTTTTAATGGTAATTTATGTTGTTGCGGGAATGAAAATTTCCTTTAGCAAGCACATCAATCCTGACAAAAAATAACTGATCTCCATGGATTTTTCATGCTTGCTAAAGAAATTTGTCATCCTCACGGCAACATTATTTGCCATAAAAACGTTCGTTTTGCCATGCTCTCCCAGCGAACGTTCGCTGGTTATCAAAATCCAAAAAAGGCATGAGTATATTTTGGCTGACCTAAACGGCGCGTCTCTTGCCATGCATTTGCTTGAAATTAACAATGGCCGGATGCACGTTCTGTGATCTGTGCCACCCTGGCCTGGCCTGTACTATCCCGTACTGCAGTGCTACTAGTCACTAGCTAGTGATGAGTGTGTTGTTCGATTCCCCTTCTCTTCTCGTGAAAGAATCTTGATCTAGCAGCCTGGACCTCTCTAGCTTTCCCCACATGCTTCTTCTCAATCTAGCTAGCTATTCCAGTCAGCCATGATCTCGCAATCATTGTGTTGCGTCCCAAGGAACCAAATGATCACAGCAAGAGAAGAGAGAAAGCTTATTAAGTGGCCACATGATGAACAGCCATGCATATTTGCCTAGCTAGCTAGTTGCACTTGCATCTGAAGATTGATCTCTATGAGTTTGGTTTTGTAACTAATTTCGACGGATTACACGGTGTGCCAGGTAGTAATTAACAAGAGCAAGTAATTGAAGAGGAAGAGGGTGAAGAAAAATGGCGTGCTGACTGCTGATTGAGAGGGAGGAGACTGCCTGGCCTGGACTGGACAGACCTGGGTTTCGAGCTATGTACACACTGACACCGTACCACCATCGGTTGCATGCATATGATCGATCGATCGCGTCCTCTTCTCCACGGATTCGACGGCAGTAGTGCTCTGCGTTACGAACACTGATCCGTTGCATGATCGATCACGTCGGCGAGTTCTTCTATGGTGCTTGACCGACCATTACTCGCTCGGGGACTCGAACTCCCACCATTGGGAGCTGCTGCAGGTCTGCTCCGCCGCGGACGACGGCCAGCTCGAGTGGAACGGGAACGACGACGGCGACTGCTGCTGGTACTCGGCCGGCCCCGACGCCGTGAAGCCGCCGTCGTGCGCGGTTGGCAGCTGCAGCGAGGGCCGGAGGAAGAGGCCCGCGTCGTCGTCGTCCTCGCCGAAGAGCGAGAGCTTGCCGCTGCCGCCGCAGCCCTCGGACGCCGAGTATAGCTTGCTGGCCCCGCCAGCGTCCACGAACTCGTCCTTCATGCTCATGCCGGCCACGGCCAAGCGCACGTCGTCCCTGGCGGCAGCGCCGGCATTATCTCCGCACTTGGCCCCGCCCGGCTCCCGCAGCATCTCCGCCAGCTTCTCCAGCTGCACGGACAGGCAAAGCAAGAACCCGTCGACCGCGCATTAGCCACCGGCACCACCACACGGAGCACGCCGCCACCGGCCGGAGAGCACGGCGAAATTAACACATGGTACGTAGTAGAGCAGAGACATAGTAGTACATACCTGGTTGACGAGCGCTTGCTTGTCCTTCTTGAGCTGGTCGTAGCTGGAGAGGAGCGCGTCGTAGTCGTCGCGGAGCGCGGCGTACTGGCGCTCGAGCTGCTTGGACTTCCAGCGCGCGCGCTTGTTCTGGAACCAGATGGCGACCTGGCGCGGCTGCAGGCCGAGCTCCCGGGCCAGCTGCAGCTTCTGGCGGGGCTCCAGCTTGGTCTGCGTGGCGAACATGGACTCGAGCGACTTGATCTGCTCCTCGCTGAAGCGCTTCTTCCTGTCGATCATCACCCCGCCCTTCTTCCCCGCCGCCGGCTCCATCATCCAGTCCCCGTCCTCCTCCCCCTGCTCCATCGCTCCCTCCCTCCCTACCTAGCTAGGTCTCGCCGGCCACCTGAGCGCGGGCGCGGTCATGCACCTGATCTGGAGGAGCAAGGGGAAGAGGAGGAGCTAATGGAGGACGGATCGCAGGTGCGCGAGCTTGCTGTGATCGATTCTGCTTACTAGCGATGGAGTAGTTTAATCGGAGGATGGGGCGATGGGCGCGGTGATGGCAACGGGGCGGCCAATGGAGCGCGGTGGCGTGCATGCGTAGCCGGGTCTCTCGTCTCCTCGCCTCTCCTCTCTCTATAGCTGTAGCTGTAGGTGCAGCTAGGCGATGGATGGAGCCCGGGCGGGGCGCGCGGCCCCGCACGCCCCGGCCGGCGTCGCTGTCGCTGGGCCGGGCGGGGCAAAGACTTGGGAGCGCACCTAGCCAGCTTAGGCTTAGGCTTAGCTGCTTCTCCTGATATGATCCCTCCCTGGCGTCTGTTAGGCTGGTCATACTGGGGAGTAACTTAGACTAGTGTCATACATATGTCACTAGTCTAAGTTACTATCTTCATAGTGCAAAGTAATATAGTAGTAGTGTCATAAAGGACTTCATTAATTAGCTTTTAGACTCATCTTGTCTTGAAAAGCGCTATGTTACAGTAACATATTACTCCCTCCGTCTAGGTGTGTAAGTCATTTTACGTTGCGCACCATGACCAAGGTGGAGGGGAAAACGAGAGAACTTAATGTGATTTTGCTAATTAATAACAATGCATGCAATGAACTAACCAATGCATGTCCGTGTTTGATAGTCTCAAATCATTTAAAGCATGCATGGCCCACATCTCTTATTGGTTGATATGTCACGAAACAAGAAACGAAATGAGAGTTAATGTACCGCGCCTAAGTATTTTGGGATTATTTGATTTTCGTAAGATGATTTACACACCTAGACAGAAGGAGTATGTTACCACTTCTCATTAACTACATGCCACATAAGCAAAAAATTCTTGAAGTGCGCTATGTTACTTGCTAAGTTACTCCCACTATGACTAGCCTGGCGGCCACGTACGCCGCACGGCGCCGCGCGCGGCGCGTACGTGCCACGTCGAGCTAGCAGAGCGCACACGGTTGGTGCTCCCGGCGCGTCGCGTTTCTTTGAGTTGCGTGCGCGGGGTGTGTTGGCTGGTTGGCTGGTTGGTTGGGACTCGGGGAATCGCGCGGTGGCGGGACGTGTCGGATCGGCGGTGGCGTCGCGTCGCCGTGACAGGCCACGCACCTGCCCTGCTAGGCTCCGTACGCCGCCGCCAGGGCCTCGGGAGCAGTGGTACGGCGACGGCCAGGACTGGGCGTGGTACGACGCACGACGTACGGAGTCACCGTGCGCCGCACCGTGCCGTGGGGATCTCGGCGTCCCGCCCGCTGCTGCCGGTTCTGTCTGTGCGGCTCGTGTCCCGTACGTGTGGCGACTGAAGAACGCGCGCGCGGTATCGACACCGGAGCACGCGGACGCGCCGTGCCAAAGCGCGGGTGCCTCGGGTACTGCCGCTTCTATTTACATCAAATTTTGCCCCCGAACTTTTGACCTTAGTACAGTGCCTGGACGCTTGCAGTGATCATCGGTACTTTTTTTCTTGCGAATCGTGATCATCGGTACTCTTTCAGACTAGATTGCGTCATTCCTCCACATCTAACTTCATCACCTGCGGAATGGCGCTAAGAGCATCTCGAACGCCGTGGCGCTAAACGGAAACTCTATTTGTCCGTGGACACGGATACCAGAGCCAGTCATCCAACATCATGTCTACAACATCCGTCCAAACCCGGCCATATCCATACACAGTGTAAATGTTGATAAATTTGATGAGGTGCATAGATATGCAATCTTCTAGATTGCATTACTTCGCCGCATCTAACTTCATCAACTGCGGAACGACACTAAGAGCATCTCGAATGGCGTGCCACTAAAGGGAAACTCTATCTGTCCGTGGACGCAGATACGAGAGCTGGTCATCCAACATCATGCCTAGGACATCCGTCCAACCCGGCCCTATCTACACTGTGTAAATGTTGATAATTAAATTTGATGAGGTGCATAGATATGCAATCTTCATGAACAAAAAAGGTGGAGGTTTAGAAGTTTTTACATATGTGCCCGATCACAAAAGTGCTAGTCCAATGGTTCGTGCAATTTTTGTCCTCCTAGACTAGTTGTTCGTGGCTCCTCCCTCATCACTCTGCCGCCGGCTCCTCTACAGCTTCCGGCTCCTCCATCTCTGTGTAGGGGAACTTAGTAATTTCAAAAAATTTCCCACGCACACGCAAGATCATGGTGATGGCATAGCAACGAGAGGGGAGAGTGTTGTCCACGTATCCTCGTAGACCGTAAGCGGAAGCATTATCACAACGCGGTTGATGTAGTCGTACGTCTTCACGACTCGACCGATCCAAGCACCGAACGTACGGCACCTCCGTGTTCAGCACACGTTCAGCTCGATGACGTTCCACGGGCTCCAATCCAGCAAAGCGTCGGGGATGAGTTCCGTCAGCACGACGGCGTGGTGACGATGATGATGTTCTACCTGCGCAGGGCTTCGCCTAAACTCCGTGCCGATATGACCGAGGTGGAATATGGTGGAGGGGGGCACCGCACACGGCTAAGGAACGATCCGTAGATCAACTTGTGTGTCCTAGGGTGCCCCCCTGCCCCCGTATATAAAGGAGCAAGGGCGGAGGCCGGCCGTCCCCTTGGGGCGCGCCAAGGAGGAGGAATCCTCCTCCTAGTAGGAGTAGGATTCCTCCTTTCCTACTCCTACTAGGAGGGGGGAGGAAGGGGGAGAGGGGGAAAGGAAAGGGGGGTGCCGCCCCCCCCCCTCCTAGTCCAATTCGGACCAGAGGGAGAGGGGGCACGCGGCCCACCCTGGCCGCCCCTCTCTCTTCCCACCAAGGCCCATGTGGCCCATTAACTCTCCCGGGGGGGTTCCGGTAACCCTCCGGCACTCCGGTTTTCTTCGAAATCACCCGGAACACTTCCGGTGTCCGAATATAGTCGTCTAATATATCAATCTTTATGTCTCAACCATTTCGAGACTCCTCGTCATGTCCATGATCACATCCGGGACTCCGAACAAACTTCGGTACATCAAAACTTATAAACTCATAATAAAACTGTCATCGTAACGTTAAGCGTGCGGACCCTACGGGTTCGAGAACTATGTAGACATGACCTAGAGCTATTCTCGGTCAATAACCAATAGTGGAACCTGGATGTTCATATTGGTTCCTACATATTCTACGAAGATCTTTATCGGTCAAACCGCATAACAACATACGTTGTTCCCTTTGTCATCGGTATGTTACTTGCCCGAGATTCGATCGTCGGTATCCAATACCTAGTTCAATCTCGTTACCAGCAAGTCTCTTTACTCGTTCCGTAATACATCATTTCATAACTAACTCATTAGTTACAATGCTTGCAAGGCTTAAGTGATGAGTATTACCGAGAGGGCCCAGAGATACCTCTCCGACAATCGGAGTGACAAAACCTAATCTCAAATTATGCCAACTCAACATGTACCTTTGGAGACACCTGTAGAGTACCTTTATAATCACCCAGTTACGTTGTGACGTTTGGTAGCACACAAAGTGTTCCTCCGGTAAACGGGAGTTGCACAATCTCATAGTTGTAGGAACTTTGTATAAGTCATGAAGAAAGCAATAGCAACATACTAAACGATCAAGTGCTAAGCTAACGGAATGGGTCAAGTCAATCACAACATTCTCCTAATGATGTGATCCCATTAATCAAATGACAACACATGTCTATGGTTAGGAAACATAACCATCTTTGATTAATGAGCTAGTCAAGTAGAGGCATACTAGTGACACTATGTTTGTCTATGTATTCACACATGTATCATGTTTCCGGTTAATACAATTCTAGCATGAATAATAAACATTTATCATGATATGAGGAAATAAATAATAACTTTATTATTGCCTCTAGGGCATATTTCCTTCACTCTGTCGCCAAGCGCTTCAACAACTTTTTGCATGGACCGCTTGCATGAGCTTTGTTGCATCGGGATCCAACTCGTCCATCTTCATAGTCAACATTTTCTTCGAGCTTGGAGCTTGGCCCTTTTCACTTCGAGGTTGATCTTCTTCTCCGTCCCGCCAAGATGCCAAACCCATTTGCCTTCCATTTCTAGTTGATGTCATGGCGCTTGGCACATGCCTCCTTCTTCTAGTCCATGATGCCCTCGAACTTCTCTGTCATCTTGGTCATCGCCCCTTCTCGTCTCTCCTCCACCTCCCTCTTCTACCTCTGGACCCCCTTTTGATCTTCTTGGATGTCTCTCCTTTTGTTGGGTCGGTTGCATCACCACCTTCATCTTCATTGCCGATGCCGGCGGTTTTGACAGTATTGACATTGGATAGGAGCCATTTGGGTTGCCTATTCAATTTCTACCAACAATGCATGGGATGAAGTTCTTCTTCTCCAACTCCAAGTACATAGCTGCACGGAAGGCGTAGCAAAAGACGACATGGTCAAAACATATAGCATATCCGCCCAAACAACAAACACATATAGGGCTCTGGCACCCACCTTTGGATCCTCCTTCTCCGGCTCCAGCAACGCTATTAACAGATCCATGCGGCGCCGGAAGGCGAAAAGGGCGGGAACTGGGATGGAGGGTGACGACGATCGGCTGGAGCGGGTGGGAATGTGCGGGCTTTGGCATGGAAATAGTGCGGGCGTGGCCAAATGTGCGGGCTCCAGGTGGGATTTTGGGTGGGCGGAAGTTGTCAGAGTCCTACGAGAGGGAGGTCCGGACTCCTGCAAATATTCCCAAACTTTGCATCCGCTCTGTAGGAGTTCGGACACGCCGACGCGTCTAGGCCATATGCGACACCGCGTTGACGACAAAAAAGATCTGTACACGTCAATCCGAATGTTTGCAGGCGTTTTACGGCGTTTGAGATACCCTAACGTACATGTACTACACGGCAGCACGTTTGGTTCACGTACTGAACGGGGG